CACTAAAAATGTAAAAATAAAAACTTCAGGCGTCTTCGAGTAATCGGTGAACATACATAAAGAAAAAAAAAGATTCCGACGAATTGAGAACCTCCTCGTTTTGGGAAATCGGTTAATAATAATTGTGTACAATATTGTAATACAATAATTATCTAGTTATCCTACGTGAGACCCAACCAGACATTAGTTCTACACATTGATATCTACGACAAACAGAGTTACTTTCGCATTTATAATATTAAAAGTATGGATGAACAGCAATTTAATCTTGATTTGCACGAAAGCGTCAATAGGTATCTAATACAAGTCTATTGCCCGATTTCACCACCAACCCATAAGCTACCACCTACGTATGGGATCCCTAGCTTAAAAGTCCCCTAAACTAGCCCCTAAATTAAATTTCATTTTACGATCGTCTTTAAGCCCATATTTCGAGCACCTAAATTTAGGGGGCCTTTTAATATTTAGGTGACCCCTAACTGTCGGTGAAACAGAAACTGTCCCCTAACAGCTCCCTAACCATGCTTAGGGGATACCTTAAACTTAGGTGACGTTGGTGAAATCGGGCATAAGTCTCCGGCTCGTAATGTATCTGTGCACTAAATTCTATCCATATTCGTCTAGTTGTACTTAACCGTAGCAAGACACGTAGCTAGAATAAAATAACCATGTATAATATTATTTTCCGCCGTTAACTTATTTCGTTTTTAGATCGCTTTTTTATAATTGTTTTAACGGAAATATGTATGTCAACCCTGAAGACCTATTCTACATATTGGTCAAAGAAGTATTGAAAACGGTTAAGTTTTGAAGATATCTATAAATCAGTCCTATATATTAGTTAAATAATTACAGCCCTTTTTAACGTCCCACTGCTGGGGGTGGGCCTCCCTTCAAGAGGGGAATCAGGCCATAGTCCACCACGCTAGCCGAGTGTGGGCTAGCGGGCTTCACATGCCTTTAAGAAAAATAAGTTTCTCTAAAACGTGCAGGTTCTCTCACGACGTTTTTCTTCACTGTAAGGCGAATGGTGATCATATTAAAAACGACATGTAATATTAGAAGTACGAGACTCGGGATTTGAACCCGCTTCACTTGGTTTGAACGCTCTTCAACAAAACAACCACTGAACTAACATTCTCTTACAGTTTAGCTTTTTTATTAGCAAAAGCGTTTGTAGATTATGCTCACAAGGTAGAAACTTAGTCAGCCACAAAGGTCAAAAGTCACTAAATCAGCGAGTGAAATTTAATTACTCGCGTAGCTAGTACGTGCTATTGTTATCTCACCTGTTTCTATCTGTCTGCGCGTCCATCAGTCACATCGCTGAATGAATGACCTGCGTATACTTTAGACCATTTCTTTTTTTCTGTATGCGTCTATTTGCTTCACTTATGTATAATCCTACTAATATTATAAACGCGAATGTTTGTAAGAATGTATGTATAGATATATGTTTGTTACTCTTTCACGCCAGAACGGCTAAACGAATCTGAAAAAAATTTGGCACAGAAATAGATTATAGTCTGGAATACCACATAGGTTACTTTTTATCCCTGAAAAATATACGGTTTCCGAGGGATAGATTTGTTTTTGTTTTTCTAGAGGCGAACCCGAGCGGAGTGTGAGCTGCTAGTATGTAATAAAAGAAACTTAATTTAATAATATTGTTCGCCCAGTTGTCGAAATTCTGCCATAGTAATCATTATTTGGAGGAAGACATGTGTATTAATAGAATTAACCTATCTACATAAAATAACTGTTTCTAATTTTTTTATTGATAAGACTAAAGCTTCCTCAATATTAAGAGAAAATCAGTCGACAAACAGAGGAGGAAAAGGTTTCAGTACCTGTTTTGTCTTTGCCTATTTGTATACAGTTTTTCTTAGATTGCTGTACAGTACTGAATTGAAACGAATGACTTGAAATCCGGATGATAATAAATAAAAGAATATGACCTCGACCTGTTCTAATGATATACCCATAAGGTTTATGGTAGAACTCTTCAATAGCTACTTGTAAAATTTTCAAGCTTAGCACCATTTTATTGGTTTGTAATTGATTATATTTTGTAATCAGCCCAATTTCAAATTAAAAGCGTTTTTGAAAAAAACAAGCTTTTACTTATAAATAACATTTTCTAACCCGACTACCGCAAAAGAAAAAGATAAAATATTAGAACATCAGAATTACTTAATTAACTCTCATTTTCTTGCCTATTACAGTGAACGTGGGTTCGATTTCTAGACGTGTCGAGCGATCGTATCAACACCATAAACGAGAGGGTTAGTTACCATTAGTCAAATAACTACGTAAACTAAACATGACGATTTTCCCATAATTAAGTTTTGAGTGTTCCATTATAAAAATAAATAAAAGAAAAGAAATTGATAAATAGTATAGGTATATATTTAATGTATTTGTAAAATATTTGGAGTACATTTAGTACAATCTAATAACCTTCCAGGATTTTTGTTTATCTGTTTAAAGCACGACACTCACGAAAAACTAGATGAATTACAATATTTGATGTTTTAGTTATACCATGTTACAATTAAAGATGCGAAGGCGAACCAGAAGACTCAGGCAGTAACTAGCACTAAGTATAGTTTGTCCATTTTAGTAATAATTTTTTGACAGCTCGACTCGGCTCGACTGATAAGTTATAGAAATTTCCTAAAGGACGTAATAATCGATATCGCTTTTGTTTTGTAAAAAATATAATATAATATTTATTTTCATATTAATAAATATGAAAAAATAATCGTAAAAATTATATATACAATATCAACATCAACCGACCGTTCGTCCGGCCGCCATTTTGGCGTAGTAAGTCACTCATTTGTCTTTTTACCATTTTTTCTTCTCTGTTTGAACCTTAAAATTTTGTTGTCTTCCTGATTAAAAAACATATTACACCTTATTTACATATTAGCATTTATTTCTACCGATTATTTGTAATCTGTAGCACAATCCTAGTAATCGTTATGGGTGGCACATCACTAAGAGGGCGGTACGCGGCCATGAAGTACAATATTATTTGTATGAAATTTTAACTTAATACGAAACTTCATGGACGTGAGCTGTCAAAAAAACTATTAATAAAATGGACAAACTATAGGTACAGTTAACTAGCCGTAGCCGTATATTTAGAAAAAAAACAATTGCTGACATTTTCGTTCTACTCACAGAAACAAACACAGGTTCGGTTTGTATCTAATAAGAAGCACGGAAAGGAAATAAAATGGTGTAATTAAAACAACATCAGCGCGCCATCTGCGCGGACGTGACGTCACGCTGCGCCGCCATTTGCATTTTTTTCCCGCCATGTCATACAGTGGCTTACGAGGAAAATATAGTTTTAGTTTTGTATTTATGATACGTGACTCTAGGCTATGAAATATATAAAGTAATAAAAGATAATATATTCCCATCTTAACCTATTTTAATTAATGTCTAATTTTTGAGAAACAAGCTTTTATATAGACATAATACATGCGGGAGTCCAGGCAAAGAAAATTTCAGATCAAATAAATTTCTTTATTAAATTCTTACAAATTTCTTTTTTTATCAAAATTATGTCTTATTTCTTTCGCAGTCCTTCCTTGAATCCCTTTCCGAATCCCGTAGGCCCTAACCCGTTTCACTCTACATCTCACTAGTTCATTCTCACATTCATTCATCCACAGATAATAATTAACAACTAACATACTAATCAACTTGATCCGGTCACATAAAATCAGTCACGCGTTGATAACAAAATAAAAGTCGTTCCCACATATTATAGCATAGCAATCGATGAGTTCTTTTAAATTTTGTCCCGATAGGTACATCTCCATCATTAGACTTATAGAATTACATTATTTTTTTTTTCTATAATTAAAACTTAATTTGTGCTACGAGGAAGGACTTCAAAAAATTTCAAATGAATTATTGGTAAAATAGTAAGGTAGTAGATTTTTCTTACATATATAGGTACATTATATTTCAATCATCAAATCTAAATAAAAAAAATACTGGAAAATAAGCGGCATACTTGAGTACTTCAGTAGACTTCGGTTTTATTATTATACCTACTTAAACTTTACAGATATTATAAATTGGCGTTTGTTTTTTTTACATTTATTAAGAATACCAATAATATAACACACAAATACATTAATATTCATTCTTACAAGTTCTAGTTTGTTAGTCACTTACAGGTGTCCATAGCACTGACCAACAAAGGACTAAAAAATAAGGGTAAAAAATTGTACAGAAAAAATTGATTGAAAAAACAATTTAAAACAATATGAAATAATGGTCCATCTACATATTTACATAACAATAACAAAGCGACAAGTCAATTTATTTTCTTAGATACTCTAAGGGTGATCCGAAGGTGGCTGAAAGGGAAAGAGCATGTGCTACTTTATATCCCAACTAAGAGGTTCTAAAGAATAATTTTATACTACAAAAGGATAGCATTGATTGAAAATAAGGATGGGTATAACTTGTATCAGATAAAGGCTTCTAGTAGCCAACAGTCATATACATTACTAGCGACTCACCCTCGCTCCACTCGGTTCGTCCCTGCTTACGTTTTAACTTTTAGTAGATTTCTCATAGATGAGACCTTTTCCTGCAGTAAAAAGTATCCTATATGTTGACCCGGATAACCAGATATCATCAAAATCCCTCCAGTGGTTTATCGACAAAAAATAGAGCGATTCGTTTTCATTTTTAACCAATTTCCAAAAAGGAGGAGATTCTTAATTCGTCGGATTTTTTTTATCGTATAGATGGAAAATTATTCTAAGCAGCAATAGTCAACAAAATAACTTATTTATTGCCTTTAACGACCAAGTACGCACTTAAAAATTAAAACTTAATTAAAAATCATTCCTCAATAATCACAAAATGTAATAAGTATAATGCAACAATTTATATTAAGCGTATCTGAAAAATAAAAAGTTCTCCTTCTATTTTTTTTAAATGGGATATTTATTATATTTTATAAAATGGTAAGTGACGCTCATAGTACAATGATCCCCCAACTTTTAAAATACGAAGCTATGTATTAAAATTAAAACTTATTTCTTCACTGTAAAATGAACATGAACAATTATGTTACTTAGATAAATATTAAGAACTAGGCATTGTCCTATATAAAGTTACCTAAGGTTAATAATCATTCCTTTTTTTCTGACCCTCCTTTTCTTAATGGGGTTTTATTACTAGTATAGTATTATAAGATCTGTGGTTTTATGAAACAAAAGTTAAAAACCCATACGTAAAATATTAGACAACTCTCTCCGTAAAATACTACAAAGTACAAACTCTTAAAAAATCATTAATCTCTAAGAAAGTTTAGTATATTGCAAAAAAATGTGCAAATGACAATTGCCACTTAAAAACTGAAACAATCAACAAATTCTTTCAGTATTTTCTTCTATATCTCACAGTCGTAACGATTATTACTCCAGCACTAACCCAAATCGCCATCCAGTCAGGTGTAAGACCAGACGTAAGATTTGGACAAAATAATGACAGATTCGATGTTTCCAACATAATTAAGTATCAACAAAAACACTTAGAGCACAATGTGTTAGACGCACAATCTGATGAGTTCCGACGAAGAGGTTCTAAAAAACGAAAGCACAAGTTGGATAATAATAACATATTTATAAAAAATCGTATTCGAGATTCCGAAAAAAAAACTTCCGATGAAAACAAAAATGAGAAACCAGAAAACTCATGGCTAGATCTCCTCTATACAAGAAAAGGTAGTAAAAATATAAAAAAGAAAATAATAAAGAAAATTGAGGATCGTGTTAATCAACTAGCCAATACTATTATTACTAAAATACGTTCAATGAGACGATTTGATGAATTTGCGCATCATGATAATATGGATAGCGTTGGAGAAGCAGATTTTGATGAAAATCTTCATAAATTTATAGAAGAAAATAAGCAGTCGAGAAGGCTAAAGAATTTCGTTGACAAATTACATGGTGGTAAACAAACAAGGCGTAACATGGTTGATCCAGAGCGAGAAATACTGTTGCATTACGGATTCCCACTTCATATGAAAATTGAAGGTTTCTTACAAAAACCGTAAATTTTAGTAAATAAAGACAAATACTTGATATTGCAAATATAGGTACTATTATTTTTATGCACACCTAATCCGGTATCCCGAAACTCTCAAGCGAGACGAGAGAAAGCTTGGACAAGCTATTTTTTTTAAATCATTGAAAAATAAAATTTTTAGAAAAGGTATTGAAATAACAAATTAAATCGGTATGTTGTAGAATCATAATTTGTCTTTCTTATAACGATTGTAGAACGATATCTTGTCTAAAGTCTAAACCCTTTGTGTACATCAGTTTTGACAAAAACTTAATATCACTGTTAAGATCGAATATGTGTGACATAATATCTTTTGTCTCCATCTCCATCGTGTCTTCTCCATTCTACGCGACTTTAAAGAAGTAAATTGTGCCCAATTGAAACGCCTAACAGCCACAAGACAAAGAATAATAAATCTATATGCAGTCTGGCATATTTTGGAAAAGCGTTAAATATCAAACCTTGGGTATTTTTTTCAGGTCAAACTGCAAGAAATATATAAATGTCCACGGACTTTTTCTCTAATAAGAAGCCATCACGCTTACTCATTTTGTACTGGAAGTTCCTGGAGTCAACAGGACTAAGCGGAAAACTCTAAATTAACTCTAAAGGGAGCTACAATGGACCATAACTGGTCGACGTAACTAGGGCCGACCTCCACACACAATAAATATAATAATAATAATACTCATTTTGTAGATATTTTAGTATCAAATATAGAAGCAAGTACTTCGTTTAATAGCGCTTTAATTAGCATTTTAACGTGCATTTAGAGCCACTTGTACTAAATTAGTTTGATTTCAGGATCTATAGAAAAGTAACCTACTGGAAGTCCTAACTAAATATTAGGCAAGTGTCAAATAACTTGACGTTTGTTAAACGTATTTTTAACTTTATTTATGAGTTTGGTGTAGATCTTTTTGGTTTGCAGTAAACATTTTATAAAATACTGTAATATTAAATATTAGTTATCTTTTGTAATCTATGGTCCAGTGTCATGTCATAGTAAGTCCACTAAGCCTATTCCAGTGAATAAGTCCCTATATAGTAATGTGAAAGTTTGTGAGTATGTATGGATGTTTGTTACTCTTTCACGCCAGAACGACTGAACGGATCTGGATGAAATTTGGCACAGATATAGATTATAGACTGGATTAACACATAGGCTTGGCTTTTTTATCCCGGAAATATGTACGGTTCCCGTGAGATAGATTTGTTTTTGTTTTTCTAGAGGCAAACCCAAGCGAAGCTAGGGTGAGCCTCTAGCTTATAATAAATCTTTGGAATTACTGCTTGTAGCATTTGATCAAGCAACCTCTATCAACTTTTTTTAAGATAAGATAGATATATAGATTATAATAATTATCTAAGGAATATACAAATTTTAAATAAATATGCAAGTAGTGTCTGAATATTTTATTGATTTATAAACAGACAAATAGAAGCCAAAAAGTAAGAAATTATTATTTACTATGAATTTTTATGAAAATATCATATAAGACTTCTAAAATTATAGTACACGTCGTTGTCATTAACCGTACAGCTAATATCAAAAAAGTAAAAGTTGAATAAAATATGTTTGTCTATCTTGCGGATGTATGGATTTTGTTGCCTGAATATGGAGTAGAGAGTTACATAAACTACCTTTTAATGGATGTAAATATTCCATTAAAACCGGATAACATCTATACATACTTACCTATAATAAAATTGTAAGTAAGCCGAATCTGTACATTAAAAATTTTTTGGAAAATCTTATTGAAATAAACATTATTATCAATACAGAGGCCGTATCTATAGTTTTTTTAGAATTTTTGTCTGTCTGTCTGTCTGTCTGTCTGTTACCGCATCACAGAAAAACCACTGGAGGGATTTTGATGAAATTTGGTATGATGATAGCTGGTTATCCGGGTCAACATATAGGATACTTTTTACCGCGGGAATATATGTCATTTCTGAGAAAAAATACAAAAACTGCATTGTAAGAGTATACTAATATGTAAAACCTAAGAATTTGGTTTTTGGTCATCTAAACGCGGGCGGAGCCGCGGGCAATGCTAGTGTTATAATATAACTCATTCTGTACAATGTACAAGTGTATATCTATTGATATAATTTATTGTATGGAGCTACTTAGAGAACCCTCGATTGACATACATACATGCGCTGTTTTTATTCCGGGAAAGTATCTTATTCCCACGGGGAAATACGTTTTAACATAATAATAATAAAACCAAAAAAAAACATCATCAGTAAATCACTAGTGTTTAATATTTTTAAATATCTACTATATCTTATTTTGAAATACTTTATCAAAGGAGAAAAATATGCCATTTTAATTATTTTTTCATGTCAAAGAACAAAGTAGATAAGTAAATTACTTTTCTGTCCACGACACGAGCGTAACAAATGCTTGACGCATGTGTATGTAATACTCAATTTTAACCAATTATTCGCTTAATTTAACATTCTTCCACTGAGATATAATTAAATAGAGATTAAAAAATTTTACTCACAAACAAGTCGTTTTCAGAAAATGTTCATCAAAAAATAATAAATTTTTAAAAATGATGCTAAAGCTAATTCAAACTTTCATCATAATCTGCGTATTAGGAACAAGTGCATCTAGAAATTCTCTAATAGAAATTAAAAAGATATTAAAGGAAATAATTGCTAGAGACGCAGAAAAAAGTCGTGAAACTCACCATTATGAGCACAAAATACAAAAAGACAAAGATTTGTTAAATTCAGATGATTATCCAACTTTAAATGTGTACTTTGAAATGAATGATAAACAACGAGACCAGTTAAAACGATTCGATGAAAGAGAAACAGAGAAAACGTGTACAAGTGGCAGATGTGGCTGTACGGGAACTAGATGTGGTACTCCAAAGAATAAATTAGCTGACAATTTTGACCGAATCCTTTTAGAGCTACAACGTCAAATCTATTTAGAAAAAAAATATGCTAAGGAAAGTGATCTTTCTAAATACATGAATAACAAACAATATAAAGAGCGTGCGAGTGAATGGAACGAAAACGATGACCGGTATGATTATTCAGAGGGTATTGTAGATTCAAAAGACATTGAAAATTACGATTCTGGTTTTCAAGATATGACAAGAGATGATTATTTTATTCCTTATGATGACAGATTGAAACAAGACGTAATGCAAAGTTATTGGCCACAAGCGCAACCCCCAGATGTTCGTTTAAATGGTTTCTCACCCCAATGGTATGTGAATGAGATTCCATTGTATACCAACAGCGTTCCCAGGTCTCAAAATCGGGTTTTGCCTCTAACAAACCGACAAAGAGGAAGATTATTGAATAAATTAAGAGTTGAGCCACTTCAAAGATTGATTGGAAGAAGAAAATCTAATACAAATGCTCAGTTAGGTGTACCATTTGAAATGGACGTTCAAGGATTAGGCCAGTTAAATCCATATTAACTAACAAATTCCATATTTAAAATAAAAGTAAAGCAATAACGATTAATGAAACAGTTTATCCAGTTACCTACTCTATGTGGAATAATAAACTATAATATATAATATTAATAGAATTACACTAATTTGATTAAAATCTTTTTTAAAGCGTTCATTTTAGTAAATCTACTAATCAATAAAAATTGTGGGTTTTATTTTTGAGTTAAGTATTATTATTTTTTTTAGTTTTGAAGCACGAAGTATCATTCTTGTACTGCTAAATAACAATTCGTCACATCTAATCCTTTAAACTAGCAATTCTTGTATATTTATTTATATTATTATTTATATTCCAACTCGGAAACGGCTCTAAGGATTTTGCTGAAATTTCGAATGGTTTTCGGGGGCGAAAAATCGATCTAGATTAGTCTTATGTTTGAAAAAAAAAACGCGTGTTTTCAAGTTTTCATGCGGATTTTTTTTTCTCATTATTCTACGCAAAATATGGTCACTAATTTAGTAATTTCACCCACTCGGGCATAAGCATCTAGGTCAAGCGGCCAAGGCGCAAGAATGACATTCACATGTGTCCGGGTTCGAATCCCGATCGGACACAAAGTTTTAACTTTGTTTTTTTTTTGTATTTATTTAAGTTTTTAGTTTGTTTTTGATCTAAAATACGATTACCAAAAAATGTTTTCAAGAGAAACTAAAAGCTTTATTTTTCTTCAAAAGAGTTAATAAGTTATTAACACTGTTATAAAGAGATAGAAACTCTTTATAGAATAAAAAAAAATGTAATATTACTTTCCATGGAATGAATAAATGCTTAATTTTTTGCGAAAAAAAAAATTTTTAACTAAATTTTCTTATGTAAATAAAAACTAAAATTATAGAATGTAATACATGTAATGTAATGGTAATGAAGGAAAAATGAAATAAAAAATTTCTAAACGTTAAAAACTGTCAAATCATTTTAATGTTATTGATGATGAGTTTGACGTTTCTCATTTTATATGTAACTTCAAATAAATAAATATCTTGCAAATTACCTATTTTTTCAAATTTAAACATTTTAATTTTATCATTCGCATTATAAATTACCATTACCAGACTATAAGTATATACAAATCGATTTTACGCGACGTTGGTAAAGTAAATTGTGTTCAATTGACACACCTACAGCCATAAAACTAAATATAAATAGATAAAAACACAATTAAATTACACTAAAAATGGCAATGGCTAACGATACTCCCGAAAGCGACTTCTCAATAGAATGTTTTCAAAACTATTCAGCCCCAGAAGTGTTCGTCCAGGGTCTCGCCGGAATGGTTGACCAAACTGATGTAGAAGTTATTATACGTGCGCAAAAAACTATGTTAGTAACTTTTAATCTAAATATGACTTTACTGTATATGTAGTTTTGATTTTATATTAAATTAAATTTTTCAAGTAATTATTACCGTTCGTTATTATTGTGAAATACGTATTTTTATACTTGTAAATCCCAATTTACAGGCTTCAACGCTTTGAAAAAACAACAGAAATGTTAACCAACTGCAACCAACTTTCAGCTAGTAGGTTAAGAGCTGCATCTGTCGAGTTTAAGAATCATACTCAACTACTTTTAGATATGAAGAAGGATTTGGAATTCATATTTAAAAAAATAAGAGCTATCAAGACTAAGCTAAGGTAGTTTTTATCAATTTTTTATTAACTAATGACACAACTTTCATAATAATACTCCTTTTATTCTTAAATATAGTGCTATACAAAATTTTAATGATTATTATCAACAAATATCTAATAAATAATACTAGTCTTTATTTACAGCTGTACTTGCATCATATATAAGTACATACATTGATGAAAAGTAGGCTAAAGGTTTAATTCAGTTCTCTTGTTAATGGCTTCAAAGTGTGCCAGTTGAGCACAGATTACTTTGCCCCAATGTCACTTAGATAGCCTAAAGGTTAATCTATAATATAAACCCCATCCATTCAGGATTAAAATTACACTCACTTAAAATATACATATTAATATTATTTCAGCACACAATATCCAGAGGCATACAAAATGGCTGTTTCGACAGCCATGAATAGTAAAAAGCCTATTGAAGAAGAAATCAAAAGCGAAACTAAGATTGAAACTAAAATGGTGGCAACAGTTTCCACTGAAACATTAAAACCAGCGAGTCTCGATGAAAAGAAATCTAAGAAAAAAATTAAACCTGATGAAGATAAAGGAGAAAGCTCTAGAATGCCAAGGAAAGTGAAAAGCAGCAGTTCTTCTGAAACAGAGAGTGCGAGCTCCGGAGATGAAAGCAGTACAGATACTGGTTGATATGTTCATATAATTTATACATATCTCAATCATATTAGTTTAATTATATCAAATAGTATAATTGAAGATCTATATTAAAAATAGACTTAATTTTTACATAAACCATGTATTCAATTGAATCTAGTTACACTAAAACATTTAAAAGCAATGTTTTGAGATGTAAAAGTATTTATTCCTGATATATAGCAAGAAGCATATATTCTACAAAGTTATCAAACATTTTCATTTTGGATAAAAATGTGTAAATTTTAGTTTTTAGCTTTAGCCACCAGATCAGTTTGTTTATGTAGTACTAGAAGAACCTGCGGTTTCGCCCGTGTTCAAAGGACAAAAAACAACCTTTTCCTTCCCTTTACAATAATGTATGGAAGTCTGCCCGATATGTTGACATTTATGATTACTGCTCCTCTCCCTTGGGTAGTAGCATGATGATATATAGCCTATAGCCTTTTTCAATAAACAGGCTATCTAATGCAAAAAGAATTTTTCAAATCGAATTAGTAGTTCCTGAGATTAACGCATTCAAACAGACAAACTCTGTCTCTATAATATTAGTATAGATTATTGCTAACGGTTGTAATGTGAGATAATAATGTAAGAAAGACTCACTTTTTAGTGAGTCTTTCTTTGACAATAAATTGGCAATAAATTCATACATTACATATGAATACACAAAATTTCAATGCATTACAATTATATGAATTATTGTAGTTATACATTTTTATGGACAACCATGTATATGACAAAACTTGTTTAATTAATGAATTTCAGATAAATTGAAAAAACTTGTTTTTTAGTCTCAAGTATATATTTAAGAATTAAGTTTTTATTTAATTAATTATTAATTTATAATATGTGATATATTTGATTTTAGCATTCCATACTTTATTATTGAAATTTCAGTTTTTTTTAATAAGTACAGATATATGTACATAATATGTACTCTGACATTGAGAACTGTAAAGAACAATATTATACTTATTATAGCAAGTGAATCAAGTTCAAACGGTTTGACCCCTCAATGTCTGAGATGATAGTTTAAGATCCTGATCTATGTGGTGGATGCCTCACTCTTTTTCTAGACAAAATATATTTTTTAAACCATATAACATATTTGCTTGCTTCCCAATACAAACTTTCATCCCCATTTTCACCCCCTTAAGGGGTGATTTGCGGGATAAAAAGTATCCTATGCCCTTCCCAGGATCTCTACTTCTTCTTACCAAATTTCATCTAAATCAGTTGAGTATATCCAGATATTACCCCCTACAATGTCACAAACTCACAAACTTTACCTCTTTATAATATTAGTATAGATATAGCCTAGAGCAAATTTTTGGCGACGACCCCCCTAAGTCATGTTTGTTATTAAGTTATATGGTTTAAAAAAAAATTTGGTCTGGGAAGAGAGAGTGAGGACTCCACTACAAGCCCGGGATCTCCTACTATAATAAAACAAAGGGACGAAAGAGTTTTCAAAGACATGTCATGTCTGCCAACCCACTCTTGTCTAGCACGGTGAACTATTGCATGTTAAGCATCATAATTAATAAAAGCAAGAAAAAAATGCAGTCCTTAGACTGTCCCACTCCCGGGCATAGCAGAAGTGGATAATTACATGGGCTGCATAAGTAATTCTTGAATTAAAGAAAACAGTATACATATAAGTCAGTAATATAAGTATTACATTGTTGGTCTCAAGTGTTAATATTTATCTGTAGATTAATTTATATATTATATGCATGAATGTATGCTTTATCTCTGCAACTAGATTGTATTATCATAAAATAATGATTGATTAATATAAGATTATTGTAATAAAAATGATTTTTTCTTTAAGTTGTGATAACAGATGAGTTGTGAAACTCTATGTATTCATTTTGATTTTAACATAAACTAGCGATTACCCTCGCGTCGCTCGTTCCTGGGTACTTTTGAATCTTTTGAGAGGAACCCTAATTCTTTTTCTAAAATTAATGTAGCCAAAGTTACTCCTTATAACATCAGCTACCTGCCAGTGAAAGTCTCGTCAAAATTGGTCCAGCCGTTTCGGAGATTAGCCGGAACAAACAGACAAAAATTTTAAAAAATCTGTTTTTCATTTAAGTACTATATTATTTCATATGCATATAGTAAAAAGCTGTTACTTAGATACTATTACAGACACTTCAATTTTATTTATCTGTATAGATAAATTGTATTTATTTAGATTTTAATATAAATAAATTTATTAAAAATGTGTTCTACACTTAGAACTAGTCAATTTAGTATCTACTAAAGGGCTAATAAATAACTCAGTATTTTGTAGCAAATGAATAAAATTTTAATTTACATGAAGTATTTTATTTCTAAAAAAACAATTATAGATAACACTAAAAAAATATACAAACAAGTGTAATCTGTTGTCCAGGTCATACAATTGCTAATATTTTATATGATAACAGACCTCAAATGTAAATATTTCTTTATAAAAAAGATTCCAAAGACTTGAGAACCTCCTTCTTTTTGGAAGTCGGTTAATAATATGGTATTTAACATCTCCACCGTCTTCTTCACTATAAACAACATTGGCAAAGTAGTCTGTACTCAACTGACACGCCTAAAAGCCACAATAAAGAATTGAATTATAAACTATTTTTAAGGAATACCTTTAAGTTTAGGTATAATTTTTGAAATATTATATACATTGAAAATTTTATTTTACTTGGCAAAGTTAGCAGGATAGTGGGAAACATACTCATAGATGTCATAAAAGTCCCTTTGTTTGCAAGCAACTATTATTATTCATAGATTATTTAAGACTAGCAACTCACCCTCGCTTCGCTAGGGTTTGTCCCTTGTGGAAAACAAAACCAAATCTATCCCACAGGAACCGTACATTTTTCTAAGATAAAAAGAAAACCTATGTGCTATTCCAGACTATATAATCTATCTCTGTGCCAAACATCCAGATCCATTCAACCGTTCTGGCGTAATTAAGTAACAAACATCCATCCAAACTTTCGTATTTATAATATTAACGAATTAAAGACCTAATTTATTTAAATAGATATAATAGACACCATCACACTTAAGATTAAAAAAATCACATTAAAAAGACACTGTTTTACCATAAAAAATTGGCAATAGGAAGTACTTAAATAGCAATTTACAATTGAAATTTATGTATTTCGATTATTGAACATCTCACTAAGTTTTACTGACGGTTTAAGTGATTATGAGTCTCCAAGTCCCCAGCCCTAGCATAATACATCATTCCATAGCTCTATTTTATAGTATAAGTCAAAGAGATCTGTTACTGCTTTATTTTATAAAAAAAAAGAAAATGTATAATTATTCATTTATAATTAAAACATACAATATATTAATAGTTGTAGAAGTTTGTTTAACAAAAGTTTTTCAATAAATATATAAAAAACATTAATGTATTTCACATTTAGACTTATACATATCATCTGGCATTCAGCAGTATTTAACGCCCCACTGCTGGGTATGGGTCTCCCTTTAAGGTAGTAGTATCATTTTATACTTATGATACTGGCATAAAAAAGTGTGAGTTAAATAAACAATAATAGTAATTCTTTACGGTTTAGCAAGTGATTTAAAATAGCATTAAAAGCTATTTAAGTTATACAACATATTAGTATCAATACTAGATAATATAAAGGCTTATATTTTAGAGAACATGTCATAAATGGCAATATTTTTCATAAGAGAGAGTTTCTTTATTAAAATTTATAACAGACTAGTTATATCAATAACTTTAAGCTATACTTTATTATATTTATAAAGTTTTACAGAAAGCCAACTCAAATATTTTGGCTTTACCACAAAGATCATGTGGCATACTTCTCCGTGTGCTTTTTGGCATTATCCATAAACTTACTAATATCATATTTATATTCAAATGCCAAATCCATCATAAGAGGGTCATCAGGATTGGGTGCGGCAAGTAAAGCTTGAACTGAGATAAGTAAAGTTTCAATGGTAATAGTTGGTAGCCATGATCCTTTGGGGGGCATTTTCAACATATTCATGCATATTCTGCCACCTATAAAATAAAAATCACAAAAATATATTACTCATTTTTTGAAGTTATACTTCTTTTGGCACAGGCTTTTTCTTTACAAACAGAGAGTTGTGACAGACATATAGGATGAAATAACACATTTTCTTTTAACTTTAGTTATATAAGTGCTTTAACTAAATAGACAAGCTTTTAATACTTAGATATATATGTAATCATCATTCTGTGTACAACTGGCACGCTTTGAAGCCATTAAGAAGAAAATTGAATTGTTATCATCATGTCTATTATTATGATAAAAACAATACTCAAGAGTTGATAAGACTTGGATACTATTGTTAAGTAAATATCAAAAAGATATACTTTTACCAGTGATTGAATATTTTGCTACTTAAATTATTTGAATAAACAGATATTACGCAAGACACAATAACACACCCAGTTCCTAGTTAGATAGTGTTTATGTTATTTGCATTATTATACTTCAGTTTCATAGCGGTAGGTGTTTTTTGGTAGGTATTTCTAGGTAGGTGTCGATAACCTAGTTGCAATTTATTGATTATTTAAATCTAAAAATAGAAAGTCGGTATTACCTTTATCGATGTTGGGATGATACACTGGAGTAACAAATTTTACTTGTGGTGGCTCAAACGGATATCTATCTGGGACATTTATAACGAGTTCAAAAACACCTCCTTCATATGGTGAGCTCCTCGGACCGGATAATTTAACATGCAATATATCAAATCCTTCTCCAGTGTCAGGACTGCATGTTATACCCCAAGGAGGGTCTGTCTCTAGACTTTTAATCTCACGCATCAATCGAGAAGTTCGCGCACTCGACATACTCTTTATTTTTTATTTATATAATTTGTAACAAAAGCAATGTTCCAAAATAACTTGAAAAATTCACTATAAAATGCAATTTTTTTTAAATTTAGAGTTGGTATTACTCTTGTAAGTTGTATTATGTTGACACTTGACATTTGAAATGTCAATATTCTTTTAATTTTTCTATTTTGTTTTTGCCACTAGCCACAGGCCACGACTAATTTTAAAAGAAATGAATGTAATTGAAATATTGTTGAAAATAACTGAAAGAATAGAATAATAAAGCATTAAATTAATGCACTGAATGATTTTAATCTCAAAGGTTGTTGAATATAAAAGATTATCATTATTTTAAATTTCTGAACGCTTAGATTCCAAATGTCAAACAGCGATAGTAGCGCTACCGACCGTCTTTGGTACAACATTCTCAGTGAACTATTTAAGTTCGAATATTTACAAGGTGTCGTCGGTAGTGTATAGTATAATGTAAAGAAAAAGATAAAACAGACCTGCGGTAAGGTCATTTCATGAAATACGTATTCTCGTACATTCTACAATTACTTCTAGCCTTTAGGTTATTAATTCAAGCTATTACCATAAAAGTGCACATATAACATTTGCAATTCAGTAAAAGTTTCGTAGTAATTTTATAGTTCTTCTGCTCCAGCATTGATAAATTTGGTAAGTAATTAATATTTAATAATTTTAATTGTAACATTTAACGCTACAAATTGTAAATACATATTAAAAATGGAACAAAAGAAAATTAAAATTGTTTCACGTCCTTTATACCTTTTAATCGATTTAATCACGTTGCCCGGTCATAAGCTTTTTTCGTGGGTTGTTACATTATTAATTCTTAAATTAAAAAATTATCAAGCGTAAGTAAAATTGCCACAGATGCAGTATAAATGTGTTATACTGAAAGCTACGTCAGAAACCTCTTAGTCGGCTTTTTCTGCTGATTCTTATAATGGTCTCGTTTCGTACCGTTGTACGTTAAGTTTTCACCTCAAAATGTTGAGTAAAAAATTATACTTATTTGTTCAAAAATTTTGTTAAATTTTTATAAGCAACAAATTCTACCCCAAAGCTAAGAAAAAACATTTTTTTTTTTGTGCTCCACCCTAATTTTCAATCAAAAAATATATAATAAAATGGATAGATAAATATTTCATCACACACTTAGAAGATAAGTACAAATTATAGATAAAGCATAAAGCTACAAAAGTCAGGCAAAGGCATGCTTGAGCAATCTCATAGAGGCAACCTTTGGTGAAAGGATTTGTAGAATTGTAAATGGGACAATACAAAAAATAAACATTCATTAAAACTTAAGTACTGATATTTAATAATTTCAAACTCTTATATCATGTTATTTTTACCATATTTAATAATAGTGGCCTGAAAATTGTTACTTTGTAAATACAGAATTAATTTATGTATAAATTTGAATAAATTTGAAATTTAGGAAATTTTGATATTCAATACATGTAAGTATTAATAATAATTTCAAAATCAAAATATTAATAATATTTTTAGTATTAATATAATTATATACACAGAATTTCAGCCATGTTTAAATTAACAATGAAAAATCATGAAACAATAGAGTATCAATCTTCAACATCAAGCACTCATATTTCCTTTTTCTTAATCTCTCAGACTAATGTTTTATAAACTTTGTATGGTTTATATAAACTAAGTTTCAGCCACTTTAATTGAAATACAAAACATGATATCATGTTGTGTAAAACAATTGTATTAATTACTGCTATGTGGTTAATATATTCTATTACATAATACTGTGATGCTCTTTGGTTACATAATGTTATAAAAATATTTAAAAAAAGGTCTTGTCTATTATCAATACAATGAAGGAAATTAAAAATTATCAATCCCTCCACGACCGCGGACACGCCGGCGTGTCACTTAATAATCGATTTCTTAGAATTTTAATTAATTTCTTAAATTTACATGGAAGTGTTAAAATCTCTAATTTAATAGAAGTTTTTTTAATATATGGTTTTGACTTCAACTAGATTTTTTGTCAAATAGAAAAGATTGTACATATGAAGATAGTTTTTTGAGTAGATTCTAAACAGACAGGGTAAATTAAGAAATATTCAGATGTGTGCCTTTTTTATATGGTACACAATTTCATTCAATCATTGTAACACATCCATTTGCTTCCTTGAACATGGATATGGATTTCAAGAAAAACACCACCTGTGAGGGTGTAATGAATATTTTAAAAGTAAATTTGAAGTTGATGTACAGTTTTAGTTAAAAAAATATTACTGAAAAGTAACAATAACATAATATTCATGTTAGTTTTAAATAAATGTGATCTAAATACACTTTAATTATAAAATAAATTGAAAAATTATACATTAACATATAATTTAAAAATTAAATAAATTTTACATATTTCTTATCTTTTTAAATATTCAAGTATGATAATTATTTGCCTTTCTATATATAATTTAATTACACCATTTTAATCACATATTATCAGCTACAGAATGTATTTTTTAATTATTGGCACATAAATCCATATAATAAAATTCTAACTGAGCTGAATCTGTACATGAAATATTTTTTGGAAAATTTTATTGAAATAGACATTATTATCGATACAGAGACCGAAACTATATTTTATAGATTTTTTGTCTGCCTGTCTGTCTGTTACCGCATCACGATAAAACCACTGGAGGCATTTTGACGAAAGTTGGTATGGTGGTAGCTGGTTATCCGGGTCAACATATAGGATACTTTTTACCGCGGGAAAATGTCCCATTTCTGAGAAAAAATACAAAAACTGCAATGTAAGAGTATACTAATATGTAAAACCTAAGAATTTGGTTTTTGGTCACCTGAACGCAGGTGGAGCCGCGGGCAATGCTGTAAAACATAAAACTTGTAATATATTCTTTTAAAAAGACAAATAAAAATGATTATTAAGTAGAAAGATTATTGTTTAAAGGAATATTTTATGGTAAATATTATACAATATAGCACTTTTAGTCTCAACACCCTCATTTTTTTTCATACATTAGCAATCTCACGGCGTATTTCCGCCAAGAATCTAGTCACGTGCCAAATCGCAGTCTAACAGATCAATTTTCTCAATAAGATAAAGTTAATCCCATGTAAATGCACTTTTTAGATGGCTTTATATCGATACGATAAATCGAATCGTTACGTGAATGTTAAAACTATTACAATGACAATGCACTTTTTCATGGCATTTTGGTTAGCTATTATTTATACTGAAAATTGAAAAATATACTCGAATTAGTCTTTAGGTCTTTAGAATTGGACTGAACGATTTTACATCGTCAGACATATTCAACGTTTCAATTTCATAGAAAATGTAAACTTAGGCCTTATGCTCACAAAGATTTATATTATAAACACGCCGACGACGCGGGTATCATGTACTTACTACGTCATCTACGCATACTCTGCGTTTAACTTAAAAAAACCTAGATATGTACTTGCGTTCATATCGAAACAAACGCGTATCGACAGCGCGTTAAAAAGGCGTCATGTGTATAAGCCCTAAAGTAGGTACAATCAATATTCCATCCATACTACAGTTAAAAGGTTGTCATCAGGTCTTTCCTTATATGGCCTACTCCAGGCGTTCGATCTAAGCAGATGTAGACGACTTGCAATTTTATGTTTGAAATATAGGACAATCTATTTTCAACGCTTTTAATTCAATTACTTGATAAAATTCTAATAGGATTCTTATTTTAAACTAGCGAATCACCCTCGCTTCGCTCGGGCGCGTCCCTGGGTTGATTCCTCATAAAAACTTTCATCCCCATTTTCACCCCCTTAAGGGATGATTTCCGGAATAAAAAGTATCCTATGTCCTTCCCAGGGTCTCAAGCTATCGTCTTACCAAATTTCATATAAATCGGTTCAGTAGATCCAAAGATTACCCCTTACAACGTCACAAACTCACAATTCACAACTCACAAACTTTACCTCTTTATAATATTAGTATATTAGATAAAACTATCTTTTCGGATTTTTTCGAGGATTTATTTATATTCTTCAAAAAATTTACAATGAGATCATGTCTAAGTTCCCTGGATTAATACCTGTATAAGTTTTACTTTTCAAGAGTTTCTTATTCATAGAATTATGTGTGGAATAAAATAAAAAAAAATTACTTTGATATTTAAAAGAGCAACTGTTGAGTTTCTCGCCGGTTCTTCTCAGCAGAACTGATTTCCGAGCCGATGGTAGCTTCCTCACGGACTGATTACACTGACGCTTAAATTAAATTGACGATTCAAAATAAGTTTAATTGAAAAAAGTTTATTTTACTTCATTTTAATTCGAGTGCTTCGTGAGTTTTTATCTATTCCTAGTTTCATCTATAATAATATTATAAATAGACAGAGTTTGTTTGTTTGAACGCGCTAATCTCAGGAACTACTAATCCAATAAAAAATTTTTTTTGCATCAGATAGCCTGTTTATTGAGGAAGGTCATATGATATATTGTCTATCTATTCCATACTAACTGTTACAACGTATCTAGAGACTAACCCGAGCAAACCAAGGGTGAGTCGCTAGTTTAAGATTATATGGACGCTATATACAAACATACGACATATAACGAACCTAAACGTTTGTGTATTATCATTATTAATCTACATATCTAGTCGACGAGTTCTAGATCTAGTGCTAGATCAGAGTTTATTTATATCTTACATACATCTACGAACTAGCAAACGAATTTATATAATTTTAAACAGACTATAAAGAAACAAACACATTACAATGAATGTTGTAACACCTGATTACCGTAGATATTGTAAAAAAAAAATTCAAAAGTACTTATAAAAGTTCATATAGTTGAATAAAATTAATTTGATTTGAATAATGCAAATTGTATTTTAAGTGTTAGCCTCAATAAAATAAGCCGCCGTCGGTATTATTATTATTGTTGGTAACTGCCTCGGTGGTGTAGTGGCTAGCATGTACGGCTGCACA